CAGCAACGCATCAGCTGTCCTACCATCACAACTGTATTTGATTTAACTTAGCAATTAATTATTCTGGATTCCCTGCTCTTTACAATTTACTATAAAGAGCATTTCTCATTGCTATTAAGCAGCTACTTTTAGGAGTAGAAAAGAAGGGAAGGAAAACACTGGAAACTAAACACAAACTGACGATCTGACTTTTTCTTTAAAGATTAGAAATATTCACCAGGCCTACACACTAACCAGCATCTTTCTCTGCACTGGGGTCATGCTATGGTTTGTGATATCTCTCTGCCACTGATCTCCCTGCAGGTCAAGCATCTTGATCCACACCTCTTAAAATCTCCCACTCATCCCTCACTCTGAAGACTTTACTCCTTCCAGCAAACCCTAGTTGAAGCATCTCTTTGCATCGAATTCCTACTGTGAGCCAAATTTCCAACAGGAATGTTGGGAACTCACTTCATCTCACTCTGCCAAAATCCCACATGCACTGACCATGTTCCTTACTGGCCATGTGGTGTAAGAACGTTCTCATAAGGATCTGCTCAGAGACTCTTATTAGCCACAGTGACTGACCAAGGGACTCTCGCAGTCTCACTGCCTGCCATTGGAAGGGTTTATAAGCCAACAATCAAGTTGGCTGACCATGTTAGAAATGCATCTTCCTTGACTATCAAATGTTGGAGTGGGACTTGAACACAAAACTGGACAAAGACCAAACAAATTCCTCCTTAGTAGACAAGCGAAGCAAACTATCTCTATCTTTGGTCATAATTTCCAACCATTTCTTCCTCATTGAAGATTTTCTCTTTCGTTTAACTTTGTTTTCACATTCCATATAATCTTCCTTTTCTCGCCATCTCGATTCTACTGGAATTAAGCTTTGTCATTTGCCATTTGCTTTTGTTCTCAAACATCTTAAAAACAAAACTCAATTTTTCTTTCTAGAATCACTGTGCTTTAAAACCCAAGCATACATCTTGTGGAGCAGTGGTAGTGTCCCTACCCCTGAGCCAGGAGGTTCAAGTCCCACCTGCTCCAGAGGTGTGTAATAATATCACTGAATGGGCTCAATCGAAAAATAGGTTAAATATAAAGAAAAACCTCAAGCATGGTCTTACTAATAATTACTTTCTGACTTTCAAGTTTTGATCTAAATTTGTTTTAATTTTGTGGCATGCAGTCTCTATCCAGACTAATTAGAAGTTTCTTTTTGAACAGCTACTTGTCACATTTTATTTTCGCAATGGAGACAACATATCCAAGAGTGGAAAAGGACAATATCAAAAAAAAGGACAACAAGGTGCAGGGCTGGATGAACACAGCAGGCCAAGCAGCATCATAGGAGCAGAGAGGCTGACGTTTCGGGCCTAGACCCTTCATCAGAAAAGGGGGAGGGGAAGGGGGTTCCGAAATAAATAGGGAGAGAGTGGGAGGCGGATAGAAGAGGGATAGAGGAGAGGATAGGTGGAGAGGAAACAAACAGGTCGAAGAGGCGGGGATGGAGCCAGTAAAGGTGAGTGTAGGTGGGGAGTTAGGAAGGGGATAGGTCAGTCCAGGGAGGACGGACAGGTCAAGGGGGCGGGATGAGGTTGGTCGGTAGGAGATGGAGGTGCGGCTTGAGGTGGGAGGAGGGGATAGGTGGGAGGAAGAACAGGTTAGGGAGGCAGGGACGAGCTGGACTGGTTTTGGGATGCGGTAGGGGGAGGGGAGATTTTGAAACTTGTGAAATCCACAAAAGGATTTGGATTTGAAATTACAGAGATTCACTTTATTTTCAAAGCCTTGTTTAATTCAAAACAATCATTGAGTGTTAACCTTTGTCCTCGACAGTAAAATGCTGTGTAATCATTAAAGTAAAATGCTGTACTGTCTAACATCATAGTTCTTTTATTCTAATGTGCATATTGTTGCTTTAACTTGTTTTCTCAAAACCAATGTTTCTCTGTCTTTATTGAACTGCATAGGGTGACTTGTTACTTGAACACATTGGGATATCTTTAATTGTTACAGATATCTTTTGATTAAAGGAAACTGTATTTGAATAAGTACATAATTCAAGGATACAAATTTATCAGTGCAGCCTAACATAATAAACGGGATGTAGGTTGGATCTGTTAAAGTGTATACTTGACCATCAAATGATCATTCTTGGCTTCTGCTGCATGCCCACAAATGTCAGTTCACTATAGCTTTTGTGTTATTTTGAAATACCTGAAGAAACCAGAAGTGGTCATTTTGTTCTAAACAATGGATGTTGGAAATGATCACAAATAATGGTTTGGATGCTGAAATCCCTGGCTATAATTTATCATGTCAAGAAGTGATGAGGTTCACCATTGTCCTTTTGTCATGTGATCTTAGGTCTAAAGGTTGTCCTCCAAACACAGCAGGGGCAAGGGGCACCTTTTAACGAATCATAGCTTTATATCTAATGTGAGATCTGAAAAATGGTGTAAATATCGTATGAAATCCCAACAGGAGGAAGAGTCGCAAAAGGAGAGATCTGAACAGAACCGAAGTCATCAGCCTTTCTAATTTACAAAGCGAGGATTGGAAAACCCTGGAATAAGACAGGTTAGCTACATATTCATCGTAGTTCCTACGTATTTTTAATTTCAGAAAGATTCTTTAGGAACGCAGTACTCTATGTAACGTTGACAATATGTTTGTAATACTAGATTTTTTTCAAAAGTCAAGTTTAATCATGAAAGAACTGCAAAGTCATTGTTCTTAAACCTTTGTTCTGTGTGCTGTAGTACCTCTGCTGAATGATACAGTATGTGAGGGCCTGACAGTCTGCTGAATGAGCTGATTTCAGTGACAAGGGGATTTCAATAGCTCTCAGTGTGCCATTAGACAGGATAGTAGAAATTGGCAAACTTTCCTGATTGCTATCCATTGGACACAGGACACTGTGGACTCAGGTTCTGTAGCTCCTAGCTTTGGAGTTGCCTTCCTAAATCTTTTCATCTCTTTAACCCCTCTCTCTTTCCTTCTTCAAGCTTACCGCTCGGGCCCCATGTTGGATTCAGTGTTAAATTTTGTTCAATAATGCTCCTGTGAAGTATTTTGGGGGCCATTTCACTCCATTAAAGATGCTATACAAATGCAAGTCATTGTTGGATGTACATAGCTCTGGTTGAATAACCGGCTGCCACTACATGCAGGCTACCGTGGAACAAAAAAGACCAATATGGATACATTCTGGGAGGTTAACCACCAGACATGAGGCCTTCCTGATTCAAGGAGTTAACAATGATTAGATTGTTTCATTTAGTAAAAGCATGCACTGATCAATGAGAGCACAGCTGTAGCTCAGTTGAAAGCATGTTCACTGTTCTGTCACAAGGTTGTTGGTTCATGATCCACTTGAGACCTCAAGACCAACATTCCTGACTGAAATCCCGATGGGGTGCTGAGAGGGCACTGCTTTAGGCTCTTGTAGTAGGGCAGCAGTGTCCCTGCCTCTGGATAGACTCAAGGGTCACCTGATCCCAGAGCTGTGTCATGATTTGTCTCAATAGACTAATTCAAAATTGTTTTTCTACACACGTACCAGTCTTACAATGTCTGATCTCGGAAGCTAAGCAGACTCAGGCCTGATCAGTACTTGGATGGGAGACTGCCTGGGAATACCAGGTGCATGCAGTATGACATTTCTCAGGCTGATTGGTTATAATGGTCATACTTCCAGACTTATACTCTAAGGACATGGGTTTGAATCTCAGACAACAAGGTGCAGGGCTGGATGAACACAGCAGGCCAAGCAGCATCATAGGAGCAGAGAGGTTGACGTTTCGGGCCTAGACCCTTCATCAGAAAAGGGGGAGGGGAAGGGGGTTCCGAAATAAATAGGGAGAGAGTGGGAGGCGGATAGAAGAGGGATAGAGGAGAGGATAGGTGGAGAGGAAACAAACAGGTCGAAGAGGCGGGGATGGAGCCAGTAAAGGTGAGTGTAGGTAGGGAGTTAGGAAGGGGATAGGTCAGTCCAGGGAGGACGGACAGGTCAAGGGGGCGGGATGAGGTTAGCGGAGACTCGGGGACCGCTTTGCAGAACACCTACGCTCGGTCCGCAATAGACAACTGCACCTCCCAGTCGTGAACCATTTCAACTCCCCCTCCCATTCCTCAGACGACATGTCCATCCTGGGCCTCCTGCAGTGCCACAACGATGCCACCCGAAGGTTGCAGGAACAGCAACTCATATTCCGCTTGGGAACCCTGCAGCCCAATGGTATCAATGTGGATTTCACAAGTTTCAAAATCTCCCCTCCCCCTACCGCATCCCAAAACCAGTCCAGCTCATCCCTGCCTCCCTAACCTGTTCTTCCTCCCACCTATCCCCTCCTCCCACCTCAAGCCGCACCTCCATTTCCTACCGACCAACCTCATCCCGCCCCCTTGACCTGTCCGTCCTCCCTGGACTGACCTATCCCCTTCCTAACTCCCTACCTACACTCACCTTTCCTGGCTCCATCCCCGCCTCTTCGACCTGTTTGTTTCCTCTCCATCTATCCTCTCCTCTATCCCTCTTCTATCCGCCTCCCACTCTCTCCCTATTTATTTCAGAACCACCTTCCCCTCCCCCTTTTCTGATGAAGGGTCTAGGCCCGAAACGTCAGCCTCTCTGCTCCTATGATGCTGCTTGGCCTGCTGTGTTCATCCAGCACCTTGTTGTCTCGGATTCTCCAGCATCTGCAGTTCCTACTATCTCTGGGTTTGAATCTCACCAGGGGAGATGGTGGGAGTTTAAATTCAATTGTTTGTGGCTCTGTAGTTCTGTTTCCACCTGGTGCCTGGAAAGCCCAGGATCAAGTTCCACCTACTGCATAACATCCCTGAACAGGTGATTAAAAATATCTGAAACAGCCAACAAGATGTCAGCAGCTGATAAAACTGTGCATTCGGTTACAGGCAGCTGTAGTAGAAGGTGACAGCAAGAGGCAAAGTCCAGGGAGAGCAAATAAAAGGCTAGTCGCCTCTCAAACTCAACAGTAAGAAGAGTAAGTGACTCAAATGTTGATGCAAGTTACAGGACAATAAAATGTGACTGAACAGCAGTTGGCAAGCTGAGTAAACATCACCATTTAGAGTGATTAAAGCCCTGGAGATGGACGGAGCTTGGAGGAGCAGCAGCACCACCTATTGTTGGGAGGGATGAACAGCGAGTATAATGGCAAAAATGTTACAGTAATAAATAGTCAAAACTGGGAAATACTGGAGATCCAGAATCAAAGCAGAAGATGCTGTAAATGAAGAATTTAAGAGTCATGATCTTTTGGAGACGATTTCGCCTCTGGACGGGCAGCTGGCTGTGGTTATCTGGCTATCCTGTGTGTTAGGCCTGGCTGATTTTCACAGGCCAAGCCTAAGCTCTCCAAACATTTGGGAGAATATTTATAACGTGTCACACACAGGCCGACTAAGACAGAGGTGAGGCAACACATTTTCTCACATTTTCTCTCCTGTCGGTGGCTGTTTGCATTGGCATCAATCTGTGTCTCCCTATGGTGGTTTCAGTCAGTCTGTGACTCCATGTGAAAGTTTTCTTCGGTATCATGGTGGGTCTGGCCTAGGATACCAATGGGGCATCGAGTCCTCAAGTCCAGAGCCATGAAATGGACTAAGTGGACACTGTCTTAAGTTCTCTCTTTTTAAATTTCTTCTTTCTTATTATATTATCGTGGAAGGACTGTTATTCTGAACATTCTATTTCTTTATAGAATCCCTACAGTGTGGAAACAGGCCCTTCAGCCCAACAAGTCCACACCGACCCTTGGAGCAACCCACCCAGACCCATCCCTCTATAACCCACCTAATCTACACATCCCTGAACACTATGGGCAATTTAGCATGACCAATCCACCTAGTCTGCACATCTTTGGACTGTGGGAGGAAACCCACACAGACACGGGGAGAATGTGCAACTTCCACACAGACAGTTGCCCGAGGGTGGAATTGAACCTGGGCCCCTGGCGCTGTGAGGCAGCAGTGCTAACCACTGAGTCACCATGTTTAGTTTTCTATATTTTTTCTTAAGAATTTGTACTCAAGAATCTGCACTCGGGACCTTTGAGCCTAAGATGGTGCCATTATGGTGATTTGTAAATTTTTCCCCATACTCATGTGAGTACATGTGGCAATAAAGCTAATTCAAGAGGTTTCTGAGTCCTTGGAACAATCTTGCCCAAAAAGCAATTGAAACAGATTCCCAGAATAACATTAAGGCAGAAGCAGATCGATTCTTGGTTGGCAACGGGGGTAAGTGGTTCCCTGGAGAAGGCGGCAATGTGGAGTTGGGGGGGTTTCAATCAGCTCAGCCGTGATCTTATTGAATGGCGGAGGATGTTTGAAGGGCTGAGTGGCCTACTCCTCCTAATTCATGTGCATTTCTAAAGTGGGGGAGGGGGTGGTGGGGGGTGCGGTGTGGATGCGGGGTGACGTTGCAGCATTTTCAGGACTCCAAACAATTGAAAATTACTTGCCATATTTCTTGCTCAAAGGGCGTTCGTAGCAAAGCTCAGAGGATTGACATGAAGTTTAACAGGTCTGAGGGCATGCTGGAAAGAGTACATGCTGCTAAAATGTACAAGAGCCACCAATGAGATTCAGGACAGTAAATACCTGCCAGTGGAATGTAAAAACTCAAACTTGAAAATATTTATGCTTCCATTGTCAGCTTATCTTAAATTTAGCCATTGCTGACTTGCCAACTGGCTGAGTAACCGTGAAAAGTACGCTCTATAATTTTACTTCCTCAACTTAATGTTCGTTACGTCCCAAATTGATGTGCTGTGAATTGGATTGCAGTTATGGTATAAAATAGGTTTCACAACCTAAGCGAGCATTTCATACATTTCCACTTCTGAGGAAGAAACTGAGAGTTCCTTATGACATTGAACATATATCAAATTCTTCTGATCATTGGCGTACATTCAAGTCTAGGCATGAGAAAGGACCAAAACAATGGCATGAGCTCACTTGCTCAGATGGCATTCTCTCAAACCTACTTTGTTGTGTCATATTGTGAGCTGAGGCAATGTCTAAAGCTTATCAATTTGGCTTAAACTGTTAAAAAATAGGTAAGATTAACACTTGTGTAGCAACATTCATTAACTCGGTATGCCCCAAAGGTCACAAAATATCTTTTGAAAGTATAGTTACTGATATAATGTAGAAAAGCAGCTGCCAATTTGTACATAGCAATCTTCCTTAAATAGCAATCAGACAAGGTCATTGTGTTTTAATTATATTGGATGAGGAATAAATATTGCACATGACTAGGGGAACTGCCCTGCTCACTGTCAAATAGTGCTACAGAATCCTTTGTGTCCATTGAAGAAAGAAGGAAAAACTCAGTTTAGTGCCTCATTGAAAAGATTGCAGCACCCCTTCAGCATGGCATCAGAGAAACCATGTGCTCACATTTCTGTAGGGGATTTGCACCCACAACCTTCTGATTCAGAGGTTTATACGCTTCCAACAGAGTCCCAGCTAACATGAGGACGGATATACTTGGGCATTTACATCTCTGTAACACTCTGACGCAGTCACAATGCTGCATATTCCCTCGCATTTTACATGTCAAATCATAACTCCCATTTATAAAGATCAGGACAAAGATTCTAACAAATACAGAAATTGCTGGGAAATCTCAGCAGGTCTGGCAGCATCTGTGGAGTGAAATCAGAGTTAACGTTTCAGATCAGGTGACCCTTCTCCAGAACTCTTTTGATTTTAATTTAGGACAATGATTGAGTTGCGTTTAGCTGATTATGGACATATTCCTCCCACCCAGCTTTTCACTGCCATGGTGTTTTGTTCTCTGTGGCAGTCTTATAGTAAGCATATGGCCATAGTCACCAGCAGTGATGTGTACGAATAGACATGACTGGAGTTAATGTATTAATATGGCTTTAGCTTTTACTTTATAAGAATCTATGTATTTTAAGTTGTAAATACTCAGTCCTGAGAAATTAGCTTGTGGAATTTTCTGTGATAATACTCCTGCAAATTTTAGCTCAAATAAACTAATAGTAAGATAACTATATATGACCAAATCACTAAGTCGTCTCAAGTTCCTCAATCCTGATACAAAACATGCTGGTATACCTTTTGTTCACTCAACTGGACACCGAGACTCTCCAAGATACCATTGATGCCTGGAACTTGTGTTTTGCCAGCAGCAGTTTAGCTACAGAGTTAACCATTGCTTGTTACAGCAGGATTCCTAAAATGTTGCAGCAAGTTGTGGGGAATCTAAGTCCCCTCCAATGGTCCAATCAATACAATTTCCCCCCTGATCTTTCAGTGCCGTTTGTATTAATTAAGGTCAGTTCTGTGACCTGTGTTTTCTTGTAGCTGGTGTATCCACCTGCAGTAAGTTACTGTACCATCAAATCCTGAGAATATTTATTATCTTTGTGTACGTTGAGTCTGTCATCGCTGTTGCGACTCTTAAGCTTGGTCCTACCTCTCCCTGCCCCCATCTCTCCTCAAACGAACAAATGGCTAGAATTAAAATGAAGGTCAGGCCTGAGGGATGTTAACTTGGGTTGGTCAATAAAGAGTTTGCCTGCTATAGTACCTACCATTCCAACCAGGTGTCAAAAAGCACACCACTCGTGTTCAGACATAATTCAGGCACTCCACTGATTTTTGCTGCGGTTGAATAAGTTTAATGCTGTTTTCTAACTAACACCGAATTTGATGATTTTTGCTGTGTTTTTGATCACATTTTGTCACTCATAGAGTCATAGAGATATACAACATGGAAACAGACCCTTCAGTCCAACTTGTCCATGCTGACCGGGTATCCTAAATTAATTTAGTCCCATTTGCCAGCATTTGGCCCATATCCCTCTAAACCTTTCCTATTCAAATACCCATCCAGATGCCTTTTAAATGTTGTAGTTGGACCAGCCTCTACCACTTCCTCTGGCAGCTCATTCCATACACGCACCAACCTCATGAAAAAGTTGCCCCTCAGGTCCCTTTTAAATCTTTCCCTTCTCACCTTAAACCTATGCCCTCTAGTTTTGGACACCCCCCATCCTAGGAAAAAGACCTTGTCTATTTACTCTCTCCATGCCCCTCATGATTTTATAAACAACTATAAGATCACCCCTCAGCCTCCAATGTTCCAGGGAAAATAGCCCTAGCTTATTCAACCTCTCTCTATAGCTCAAACCCTCCAATCCCGGCAACGTTCTAGTAAATCTTTTCTGAGCACTTTCAAGTTTCACAATATCCTTCATATGCACACAGTATTCCAAAAGTGGCCTAACCAATGTCCTGTACAGCCGCAACATGACCTCCCAACTCCAAGGTCTCTTTGTTTAGCAATACTCCCCAGGACCTTACCATTAAGTGTATAAGTCCTGCCCTGATTTTCCTTTCCAAAATGCAGCACCTCACGTTTATCTAAATTAAACTCCATCTGCCACTCCTTGACCCATCGGCCCATCTGATCAAGATCCCATTGTACTCTGAGGTAACCTTCTTCGCTGTCCACTACACCTCCAATTCTGGTGTCATCTGCAAACTTACTAACCATGCCTCCTATGTTCACCTCCAAATCATTTTATATAAATGACAAAAAGCAGTAGACCCAGCACCGATCCTTGTGGCACACCGCTGGTCACAGGCCTCCTGACTGAAAAGCAACCCTCCACCACCCTCCTCTGTCTTCTACCTTTGAACCAGTTCTGTATCCAAATGGCTGGTTCTCCCTCTACTCCGTATGATCTAACCTTACTAACCAGTCTACCATGAGGAACCTTGTCGAACACCTTACTGAAGTCCATATAGATCACATCCACCGCTCTGCCTTCATCAATCCTCTTTGTTACTTTTTTAAAAAGCTCAATCAAATTTGTGAGACGATTTCCCAATCCATTTAAAATTCAGACCATTACTTTGTAGTTGCCATATAGTTGCAAGGATTGATCAGAAAGAGAATGCAAATTGAGTAGGAATGGCACATGGAGACACACCATTGTTCATGTAATGCCACTATCAGAAATGATGGCATTTTCCTAACCACTGCTGGTTATATAGACATTTGTGTTATAGTCATAGAGTCACACAGCACGGACACAGACCTTTCTTTCGCGTACACAAGTATATTGGCCTGGATTTTGTGGACTGTGGTGAAGATGGAGAAAAGGCTCATGATCAATACATGTGCAGCTCTCCAGAGGCCATTTGTGGGCTTTGGAGTGACAACCCATGGAGAGGTCTTGTATAAAATATACAGAAAACAAAATAAAGGATAAAGAAAATTGGAATTTGGACAAAGAAACAAAACACTTGTTAAACTAAAGATAAACAGTTATTTTAATTTTTAATAAACCACCAACATTAATTACATTCAGAACGAATGAGACCACATGAGTTGATAACAATGGTAGAAGGCCATTTGGACCATCAAA